AAATCTTAATGTTATTATGAAATCTGACGAAAAATCACATACAAGCGCCCTCTACAACCATTATTATAGCTCAAAGCTRAACTCTTATACCATGTCACCACACTAGGCACACTAATGATAATAATTACATAATAATTAATTAATAATTCATTAATTTATTTTAAAATATGATAATTATTACATGGAATATTAAAATTCAAGGGATTTTTAAACATTGATGTTATACATTAAATATACATTATAGAGGCGCTAGATGAATTTCTTTTAATTCTTGATAAGAACATCCAGAGCGCTGTCATATTCTGATTCGTCTTCGTTGGGCAACCATGATAGTATCACAGACTATATAATCTCTGATACCTAGTATCCATATCCATGGTATGGTGGTATGTACCATGTAGTTTTTATTTATTCTCTGATTATTATGATAACATTGAATTAGTATAATATTTGATTTTAGATATTAGATAATAGATACTTCTCATAATATAATATTTTGATTTWGTACTATACTTTCATTATAGTCATAGTGAAATTAACGTAACWATAATTGTAACAAAATGGTTGTAAGACCATATAATGAAGAACTAGAATATCTAGAAAAGAAATCTCCATTTAAATGGGAAATAAAGAAAGGATTTCAACCAAATATGAGAGTAGGTGTAAGGATTTTGCTTAATATGTTTTTGGTTTTAATTAGAATTTCTTTTATATAGGTTGAAGGAGTGTTCTATGTTAATAAATTTTTAGAAAAACTTATGTTGGAAGAATTACAAAATGCATGTCGACCAGGAATGATCGGTGGATTTTTACCTGGTGTTAAGCAAATTGCTAATGTGGCTGCATTACCTGGCATTGTTCATAAATCTATTGGACTTCCAGATGTACACTCTGGTTATGGATTTGCTATAGGTAGCTTTAAAGTAGTATCTGTTTTATTAAATACCTAAGTCRGTAGTTGAATTTCCAAATGGTTCTTACTGGGCTTTTTACGTTATAGTATACGTCATACAAATTGTAATAACTGTTTATGTATAGTATTAGTTTTCCCTTAGCATTAATTGTTCTTTATAATTTTTTTTTTTAGGAAATATGGCTGCATTTGATATGGATGATCCTCAGTCGATTGTTTCGCCTGGTGGTGTTGGATTTGACATTAATTGTGGTGTACGATTACTCCGGACAAATTTATTTGAAAAAGATGTCCAGCCCATCAAAGTAATACTTTAATAATAATTTAATTTATCGAGACATTATCATATAATTTACCAATTTATATTAATCCAATGCTATTTAGGAACAATTAGCTCAAAGCATGTTTGATCATATTCCGGTTGGGGTAGGATCAAAAGGAATCATACCAATGAATGCAAATGACTTAGAAGAAGCACTTGAAATGGGAATGGATTGGTCTCTAAGAGAAGGTTAATATCAGGTTTTATAAATTAAATTTTTTTAAATTATTTAAAAAAAATTATATTTTTATCAGGTTATGCATGGGCTGAAGACAAAGAACATTGTGAAGAAAATGGTAGAATGTTGAATGCAGATTCGTCTAAAGTTAGCATGAGAGCAAGAAAACGAGGTTTACCTCAAGTAAATTATTAATTTAAAATATTGCATAGTYTAAGTCAGGTATTTCAAACTCAAAGTATTAACTTTGCTGAATATATTGAATAGATTACTATGTGGACTGCGCATAAAAGTTTATCAAAAAAATAATATTATATTCATTACTTACAATTCTATACAATACTTATATTATTACAGTTTGTTAGAAGGTAAGACAGGAAAGTAACATAATGTTACCTTTCTGAAACATGTTGTGATAAAATTAAAATTGTATRATTTATTTTTACCTCATGTTTGAGATAACTGGTTTAAGTGTTAAAYATAATTATTATTTTTAATATTTATATGCTTTTTTATAGTTAGGAACATTAGGAGCAGGTAATCACTATGCAGAAATACAAGTAGTTGATGAAGTTTATGATAAATGGGCAGCAAAGAAAATGGGAATAGAAAATGTTGGTCAAGTATGCGTAATGATACATTCTGGAAGTCGTGGTTTTGGACATCAAGTGGCTACAGGTATATTATAATATAGGATGGGGGTAAAATTGAATTTTAAGCTATGTTTAAATAGTATATTAAAATTATAAAAAATATGATATGAATTTTATAATAGACTTTTTTCCTTAGTATGTTTAGATGATATATTATAATATATATAACTAGCTTTTGAAAAGAGCTTTTGTCTCTAATAAATCTTAATATTTCGCAAGTCATTTTTTATTAAATTTTCATATTAATAGTCTAGATTTAAATGCTTTTCCATATTTTTTCTAGTGGATTATTTGATATGCAATGTGAGCACATTATGAGTTCTATGACGTGTTTTAAAAATTATTATGTTGTGTTTATTTTTACAATTTAATTAGTTTTTAACGCCTAAAAATATGTATTTATTTACATTTCTACATATTTACATRATTTTATTTAAGTTTTTATTTCTTTTCTAAGTAATAATTTAGTGTCTTCAAACAAAAAAAAACATAAACAAAATTTTAGTTGACTGTTTTCTATAAATTTTTATTTTTATAAGGGCCATTCTTACAATGTTTGGGTTAAGTGTCCATTAACAGCTAACTGACGGTTATTGAGATTTTCACTGGTAGAATTCCACTGGTTAAGTGYCCATTTACTTTAACCAGACATTGTAAGAATGGCCCTAAATGTCTCATTTCACATTATTTAAGATCGTGCAGTTATGCTAATATTAGGAAGTTACAGCTCATAATTTGTAATACATTATACAAAAATGTTGAAGCCCATATTTTAAATTTTGATGCATAGTTCAAATAAAAGATATTTTAAATTTATATTGACWGATCTTCAGTGTATCAATATCCAAACTCTTAGAACAGTTTTGAATTAAAAAATAATATATTTACAATTTATAAACTAAAAAGTAATACTGATATTTTTAAAAATATACCCATAAATGATTACTGATAGATATTATATATGTATTTAAAACTTATTTTTACTTAAGATGCTTTACTGGAAATGGAAAAGGCTATGAAACGGGACCAAATTGAAGTTAACGACAGACAATTAGCGTGTGCCCGTATCAACTCTAATGAAGGTCAAAACTATTTAAAAGCCATGTCAGCTGCTGCAAATTTTGCRTGGGTGAATCGAAGTTCAATGACATTTTTAGCACGGCAAGTATGTATTGTGACAATAATATTGTAAATTTGTTTATAAACTAATTAGYATTTATTTTTTTAAAGGCTTTTGCAAAACAATTTAAATTAACACCAGATGATTTAGATATGCATGTCATATATGATGTATCTCATAATATTGCAAAAATGGAACAACATTATATTGATGGAAAACCAAAACACCTATTAGTGCACAGAAAAGTATTTAGATCATTGGTTTATATAAATAATTAGTTACTGTTTTTTAACATGATATTTATTCAAAATTGTTTTAATTATTGTTTCAGGGATCTACAAGAGCATTTCCGCCTTATCATCCACTTATTCCAGTTGACTACCAACTAACCGGTCAACCAGTATTAATTGGTGGAACTATGGGTACCTGTTCATATGTATTGACTGGGACTGAACAGGGTATGAATGAAACATTYGGATCTACGTGCCATGGAGCTGTAAGGGATTTTTTTTGTTTGATTTACTTATTTATTTATTTTAATATAACTAATRAGATGTTATTTATTTCAGGGGCGTGCACTGTCAAGAGCTAAATCTCGTAGGAACTTAGACTATAATAATGTATTAGAAAAATTGCAGCAACAAGGAATTTCCATTCGAGTAGCTTCACCAAAATTGGTAATGGAAGAAGCTCCAGAATCATATAAAAATGTTACTGATGTTGTGGATACTTGTCATGAGGCAGGAATTAGTAAGAAGACTGTAAAATTAAGACCAATTGCTGTTATTAAAGGATAAAAATAAGTTTTTTTTTACCTCTATAATCTATAAATTACATCTAATTATATGTAAATTTTGTATTATATGTTCATAAAYTACAWCTGTAATATTTTAATAACAAATATTAAATTATGATCTATAAATATTAAGCTATACATATCTTTCTATCTAAATCGCTTAGTAAAAAAAATAATAATTTAAACCATAATTTTTTAATTTAAATATACAATTCAATTAAAATTTGTACTTCAAATGTGTATTGTAAAAAACAATTGTACCAATTTCTATACTTTCCCTATCTAGACACTGCCGCCAGTCGTATTTGTATAAGAAAATAAAAAATTGTATGATAATGCATTGTCAAAATACCACCAATTTCTAGTTACTATAAWRTATAGCTATTAGGAATGCCAAGTGCAGCATTGGCAATGTAAGCTGTACTTGTAAAACCGCCTATTATCAAACACATTAAAAAAAAAATCCCTGGAATAATCACTTGTAGGTACCTGCAATAATAACTTCCAATACAGTTATACTTAAAATGACTACAATTATAAAATGTATCTGTTTTCTGTTAATAAGTTTAGTTGTATCCATTGAAACCCATACTTTTTATTTGACTGAAGTGTTTAGGCTTGTAAGTTATCAACTGTTATTTTTTTTATACATACTAACTTACTGATAAAAATACATTTTTTTGACATATTTTTAGAACTTAGTCTTTTGCAGCAATATAATTATGTCAGGAAGTTAGCAGATAATTAATATCATCTATATAATATGACTATGAATAAATGTCAGGTAATATTAACTGCACATTTATGTTATTAATAAGTGTACAATAAATGATTTACCTTCAAAATTCAAAATTGTATTATAAAAGTAACAAAAATAAAATCTAATCTGTGATAATATGGTAAATAAATATTAAGTTAAATACATTTTATTAGCTGGTAATATTTTTAAAACTCGTATCATTTATAATTTAAAATATGCATTGAATTGATTCGTAACTACATAATATTAAATATTTAAATATTATGTTTAATGATATAAAAAATAAAGTAGGTAAAAGTTGAGTGTTATATAATACATATATGGAACAATGAGTTGTATTGTGATATTCTGTGGTTGTACCTACCTGTTGAGTGTATTATATTATAGTTGYTGTATGGAATGTGTGTTTATAGTGTGTTACAGTGACATACGACAGTATATTAAAATTTTATCTATATTAAAATTGCTATTTTTGAAAAAACTTAAGGGTATAATTGTGAACAAAACTCGCTGGTAATTACTATCATAAATTATTATATATTTTACTATTTTTAATAGTTTCTGGAAAGACAATAAYAGGCGGTATTTGAGGTGCTTTGCATTCTATTAAAGTAGCCATTTCCTTTAAATTATCTTTTGATGCGATTGGTATCTCACCAAATTCATTTGATTTGGGCTTCATTGATCTGTTCAGTTTCTAAAAAAATATTATAACATTAAGTCATATCATTTTTTTCATCCACAATAATAATAATTTTGTAGTTTTTCAACTTACTTGGTAAAATGTCATCCCTTCGGAATGTAGGAACGTATAAACAGACATGATGGGTATGCATGCCAATGAGATCATAACCATGGACCACCCTATCATGTGGACCCAAGTGGGAAAACTCCGAGTGCCATTCATATAGGTTGGTGGTTCATAGTCTGTTAAACTGAAAGCCCATACAAACTAATAAAACAAGAAAAAAACATATGATAAATCAAATTAGTAGTCAGCCATTTAACTGTGGTCATTAAGAGGAGGCATGGGTTACAACTGTTACAAGCATACCTACTATAACGTATAAACCCAAAGGAAAAAAAAACAATTAGGTTTTATTTTATCGATATTTATTACAAATTAAGTTATAAATTTATAATATTATTATCTAAGTGCATTTTGTTTTTGATTTAGGTGTATCATCGGAAAAGGCCTAATGGATAGGTAATTATCCTTTTAACTTTATATGGCGAGGGTTGTGCGGGGGGCTTGTGATGACTTTTGGTTAGTACACATTTGAATATCGGTTAATATTATGATACTATAATTTACCATTAATGAAAGAGGAGTAGTAATGTACCAACTGAATTTGAAAAACCACAACGGTTTTGTTCCCGTGATTCTTTCGATGTCTGCTACTATTTTATTACCACCGTACATCCAGGATACCGCTATCACTTCGAAAAAAGCAATGTAAATCACAGACCACGTAGAAGTATAATAGTCAATTATTTGGAACAAATATGTACCACCCTGTGAACAGCACGTAAAGAAAATCGACGAAACGATCGATATAATTCGGTTGGTCGTGTTTGCACTTTGCAGTGTAAGTGCGTAACAAGTACGCGTTAATAGCAAAAAACAAATAACATATTTTAGACCTGTGTGACGAGTGGAAGTCCGAGTAGAAATGAAGCAAAGCAGACCACCAAGACCAAAAGTTCGTGACAGATAAGGTATTTTTTGACAGCGCGTGGAAATCCATCCTGTATGGACGTCACGATGACTTCCACGATGGCGAACTGAAATTAAACAAATTAATATAATTACCAGCGATTATTTATTTGGATTGTACCTATAATTTAATTATTTCACTGCAGTACCTACGCACCGTTTCAACGTACCTAATCTGCAGGATATTTTGTTACGCAAAAGTTATAGAGGCAACTTCAGCGTGCGTTTTCACCAAAACCCCCCTCCCACCWCAATCAACWWTATTTGGGCATTTTTTTTCTTGTAACCCGTTTGATTGATGAAGATAACAATTCATTTTAATTCGTTGACAGGAATACATTACGTTTGCAGTCTTGCARACATTTTAACAGAAGTTACACATACTAAAAGGATATATTTAAACATATAYATATAGGTAGGTATTACTGTATAAGGTACACGTCGTGGGACGTGGACATGAAAGCGCATGACATTGTTATGAATTTATGACATGAATTACCTCGCTGTTCAGGGCCAGACAAAACATCATGAAGAACAGTAACATCGACAGGTACGTGGAGTACGGCATACTGGAWAGCACTTTGGTGAACAGAATGAACACGATTCCTGGTCCTGCTCAATGCAATATAAAATAGGTAATAAAATAAATCTGTAAACTATTATCATTGGTTTTTCAGTCACTTATTACTACAAGGTTTGTTGGTAAATTAGACAACAGATACGTCTTATAATATTAACAATATCGATGTGCATTGTATATTATATATTTGTATATAATAATACATTTTTATTTTAATAATTTATTTTATTTTCTTCTCGACATAATCTCGATTTAATAGTTTTTGYGTTTTTAATTATCTAGGTAGGTTATATGAATTTTTATGTGGRAATATTTTTTTGAGTAGGTAAGTATATTTTTATGTGCTTAGATAACACATAACCAGCGATGGATGATATGTACTTAAAGGTTTTATTATTACTATGTAATTAAAATTAATTTTATTGATATTATAAAGTGTCATTTACCATCCGGTATGACGTCTTCCACAGTCTTTCCGTATTCCTTGGCCATGTTACCCAAAGTGGCGAACGTGAAAAGTCCAACTGCAAAACTCGATACTCCGTTAATGAGCGATATGGTCACYGTATCCACCATAATATTGTTGTTGTAACGGTTGTACGAAGAAAACGAAATTACCAGACCGAAGGCGATACCGATGGAGCTTAGGTTTTGACCCACAGCGCTCACCCAAACCTAAGTAGTAACTCATATGATATTATTAGTGCGAACAAATCAAAAAATTTAAATTCTGTATTGGATAGAAACATAATATTCTTTTTGACGTAAATTTCGGAATAGACTAAAAAAAGAAGAAAATAATAATAAAATAGAATAACTCTGTTATACATAGTTATAGTAAGTAGACATGAAAATGTCAAGTTCTCTTTTGACTGCATATAATATGATATAATAGAATGGATCATCCAATMGAATTAATGATATGTATTTACACTTTACAGAGAATGAGAAAACTATGATTTAGGTAAGTATTTAAATTATTTAAGTAACTTAAATAGTTTACCTGTAATATATATTATGTAGGTATTAGTGTATTACATAGTAAATAGTATGTTAATTAATTAATTACTCTGTATTCACTATTATGTAATACAATTAAAATTCATATAAAGTTACGTTTATATTGCGATTTTGAAATATTTTTAACTATCGATAGAAGATAACGTTTATGGGCTATGTGCCTTACGTCAGTATAAATTTGAAGTCAATAAAAAATGGTTTGAATTTAAATCACAACTAATTCTATATGTTGTAAAAACGTAAAATAAATTCTTTAAAATACCTATGTTAAATTTACTTAAAAATAGCGCATGTTCTTTGCAAAAATCGTCAAATTGTGTGTTAGATAGTAAATATTTTGTTTCAATGTCACATTAAAATATGTAAATTCTACGAAATCTTAACTTAAAGCTGTCATATATATTTAAATAATGCTACGTACAATTTGACTGCGAAGTACGAGTCCTTGGAAATTTAAATATATATATATCTACTTAAACAGTAAACACATTAAAGTTCTAAAGATGTGTTGTACTTACTATAGTTAATGATTTTTTTTTACGTGTGGTAATTCATGTATTAATTTTTTTCGTATTAATTAATTTTTTAACACGTATCGATGAGAATTTAAAAAATGTATGCTGTTGAAATATTATATCGTAATATTGTTTCATATAGTTTAAAATATTCGATTGGGAATTATTCTTGATTTTCTCTTAATATAGTGGATTCCTAATAAAATTACATCAAAAGAAATACAATTTGGTACATATATTTTTACCTAATAAACATATTAATTATAATATCATATTGTATATATGTCAATATGACATATGGTTATATAACGTATATTTTATACTAATATAATAGGTACTAAGCATGTGTCGTGTGGTTCGCATAAATTATAATGTTTGTAAAATTGTAAAATTGTAAAATGAAGGTGTTAAGATTAGTGAAAAGTAAAATTTGTTACGTTACCTATCAAAATAAATTGTAATATTGTTAAATTGATTTTTTTAAGTGGTTTTATATCTAAAATTCTTATAAAATATATTACTATGTACTTACAAAATATATTAATTTAATCTAGATATGATAAACTCTAAACATCTCAAATTTCAAGGATGACTTGTCTACCAAAGTATTAATATATAGTAGTATTAACGGATAGGCATAATAATCATATAATTATACATGTTTTATACCAGGTTATCTAGTCTAATTTGTATTATTAAATCGCTGGTATAAATATACAACATTTGTGTTATTTATCACGCATTTGGATTAATAATTATAACTTGTAAATTATTTACTCAGGTCTTATCATGGACGTCTGAATTTTAAGGTCACAATTCTATGCAAAATATTCAATGTTTATAGTGTTTATACATACACTCAAATCAAAACATCAAACATGCGTAGGTAGTTAATGTTCGAAAGATTATAACAAACATCGACTAACTGCATAAAGTTTTTCGTTCTTTAATATTTATCTATATCTACATATTCACATCAGAAACACATAATACTTCACTTAAAAGTACCTTAAGAGTACCTATTATAATAAAATATAGTATATTTACTTTTTTAGTTTACAAGCTTTATAAACAATTTTAATATTATATATTTATGTTTAATGAAAAGTTTTCAATTATGCGGGTGTATATTATTTATTATAGCAATCGTATTTTCTMATATTTTAATTTACCTATATAATTATTCTAATTAGTTTTGTCACGGTCATTATTATTGTATGCTGTGACAATTGTTTTAAAAGTTATTTAATATTTTATTTGTTTTTTTTTTTTTACTTGGAAAAATATTTACTAATGGTTTACCTACAGGCTATAACATCATCGCGTTTGAAAGAGTAAATTACTTAATTACCATTATACCTAAAGCTAATTTCTAAGAAAACAATGATCAATAACATTTGTAAATAATAATTTGAATTGGGGCTTAATATTTTAGGAGTAGAATAATACAATTAATGACGAATGACGATTGACGTCTGCTGAGATGATAATCATAATAATCGAAGCGTTTTGACGTAGGTACTCGAACAATTTAATAGTGCATATTATACAGAGTACTATATAGTATAATATAGTAATATTAAAAAACTCGACGATTGAAAGAACCGATGATTTCTTAGACGAGGAAAATGAACTGTCGACGACGGACAGTAAAATGAAGTTCATCGAATGGATTTAGCGGACGGAAACAATTTTCCTCGTGTAATTGAGATGCCATAATTAATTTATATATTTTTATAGTATATATTATATCACAAGAATTACAATTTACAAATATTACTTTATTAACTTATTATGATCAGACCTTGTCGTCTGACTGCGTGAGCTAGAATGACGCGAGCACCTACATATTTAGTATTAACTACAAGCACTGAAGCGCCTGCTGTACTTGTACATATAGGTAGAACGATGGTTTAGTAGTTACCTATATTATATCGTCGTAATATAATACGCTCATTTAATCCTGCATTTGTTTGATTTTTACTGCAACAATAACATCTTGAGTGGTACTGGTCAAAAAAAATAATAATAAAAGCAGGACATTGTACATAATAAATACGCAGACCTTATTATGATGGTTGGAATGGCTGTGGAGGGAGAGGGTCAACGGAAACCAATATATTATATTATGCCATTATGACGAGATGGAAATATTTCACTGAATGATTGTACACCGACACATCGTGATCGGGTTTTTTTTAGCTACCTACATACCATACGTTTTCGTGGTAATCGAGATCGTATWATACTACAGACATACCGAACATCATATCGTTAAATAACACCAACCATACAATATACAAAACATTTTTTGAAACGAATTTCGTCTACACAATTTGAAGATATTATTTCACACAACATTTTTAAAGATAATTACATTTTTTATCGTTATGATTTTAAAATTATTTTACTTTTTTTATAGGACAAAATAAATTTTAATGTCACATTCCAAAACTGAATATTTTTCTAAGAATTCAAAATTATTTTTACATTATTTTGGTTATCAGTGAACTCGTTTCATACAAATAAAAATATTTTCGTAAAGTATTTAATAATTTTCGAAATAATGAATGAGTATTAATTCTTTTAAAACAGCCACCCTGCATTGGGTGTTCGACACAAACCTTCGAGTCCAAAAGCAGTTCCCAGCGGAGTTTGAACAAGAAATATTCGATACCGATGTCAGCGCCGTCCAGCATCAGTGACCGGACTAGCAGTACGGCTAGCATGGCGAACGGCAGAGTAGCGGTCAGATGCAGCACGCGGCCTGACGATTCGGTGCTTTTCCACAGCTTGAAGTACACAACGGTGGACACGACCAACATGCACACGGCCAACTCCCAGCGAACGTTGCCCAATGTGTTCGGGTCCTTTGCRATCTGCAGCATTTTCACGCTGCACGATACGATAAAAAATATTATAGAAAAAACAGTACCCAAAGTATAAAAATCGGGTATTTTTAGGGAATATCTGCTCGGATGGTGCTATTACGGGTAGTTAGTTCATATTATATCATACATTTTTGGGAAAGGTTAATACTCCTGAAGCCACTCTTAATTATTGGTTTTGGAACGACTTCGTTTCATATACCTCAGTCATTCGGAAAACGTAACCMTCTTTAAAGTGAGATATATGTYGGAGACTCTCAAAATTAATAAAAATACAATAAATAATAGGTAGTTTCATCGTTTTACGAGTATACATTTGTATAATTGTTTATTTGTTTACAAGTTGGTATACCAACAATAGGTACATTATGATGGTACATGATCAAAACTAAAAACTAAACTATGATACCGCTTCATGTTTTATAATTATTAGTATCGTTTGGAGATTGAAATGGAATTCACTTTAATAACAATATTATAAGCAATAACAATATTCATGGCCACCGTGAAGAAAGGAGGAAACTAAACAGCACGACGATTTAGCATGATCTAGCAAATTTGCAATAATCAAATCGAAATATTAGAAATTATTATTCATCATACTCAATAGTTGGGTCTTTGTTAATTTACCGATGATTAATTAATGAGTCAATGGTTAGTACATACACATAATAGGGTTTTTTTCACTCCAATATGGCCAAGCTATATAATATATAAACGGAACGAGTTAGTTATACGTCAAGTCATAACCTCTAATCACCTTACAGCAGTATTTAAACTTGTGATTAACAATAATCAACCATCTGTTGCAGCAATCGTGTGATTTCCTACCAAGTGTCCAAGTCCTGTAAAGCTGTACCTAATAGTGACGTAGTTCTTGTGGCAGCCCGAGTTTGATATTATAATAATCTATAGCGATCTAATATTTAATGCAATAAACACAACTATAACAATTGTTATATCATGAGATTTTCGATATTCATGTTTTACATTAGTGGTCGTCGAGGATAGATACCTGTTATAGCAACGTGTGTTTTTTTTTAGTATTTTTTGAATTTTTTTGTAGACATGCCATTATGTCATAATATACAATCGCAACATAATTATAAATATTCGAAGTTCRATTGTACAAGCAGGTATTAACTATTAAGCTTAGATAGTAGATACTACACTTAATCCATTATTATGTTACAAAATATATTTTATAGCATAATATATAGTATGATCATACATAATAATAATGTATATATTATAATAACTTTTATCCTATCCAATACAAATCATCTATTCGGTTGTTCCTTATGTTATAATTATAATCATATTAAGTTGAATGATTACTTGTAAAACTCTTCGGCAGGACTTCGGCCGTCCAAAGGCCTAGTGGTGTTAATGCCTGCTATCCAACAGCGGTCAGTGTTCCACCGGTTGTTGCAGTGCGCCCACGGTGGCTGGTCCTGGATTGCTGAGAAGAAATAATACAGAGTGTATGCAATGATCACGTTGTAATAGACGGATACGAAAAACGACGTCACCACGCTGGATAAACCAACACCTTCAAAAAAAAAAAACGGAAATCGGAAACATGTTAGTCATCGTTAGTTGACACGTGACGAGTATTTAAGATATATTATTGTAATGATGTATCATACGTAATAAACCGTATGTACCGCCCAGGGATGTAATATTGAGTTGGCATTTATTATGTTTTTATGCAAACACTTTTCTGGTTAGACTTTAGACAATAGTTTCACGAGAAAACGAAACTTTAAACCCTTTATGATTTATTTATATTGGTGTTTGGAAGTTAAAATTACTGATCAATCAACCATAAAATATATATATATATAAATGAGTAGCGAATTTAAAAATTAACTTTCTTATTTTTCTATGTTAGGTTTTTTATGCAAAATGCAACTAAAATATTAGGATTTAATAAGTAGGTAGATATATATTATATAATCGTATTATTTATTATTTATAAATAAATAAATATAATATTACTTGATATTATAAAACTTGGCCAAAATATGTGCTTATAAAATATAAATTTTGTTAAGAATAGTTGCTAACATTTAAATATTATACATAGTTAACATATTGAACGTATGCGGTATATATATAAATATCTTATAGAATCAAAYATCAATAATATAATCATCAAGATATTGACTTACCTTTTAGAATTGGACAGAGTTTTGATATTGCACTAATTGGTCCTCGTTTAGTAAACTGTCCAATAGCCAATTCTAAATATAGTAATGGTATTCCACAAAATATCATCACCAAAAAATATGGTATCAAAAATATACCTAAAATGAATTGTTAATGTGTAATAATTATTATAATAACATTACAAATGCATTAATCTCTAACAAAAATATATATTAATCAATTAATGACATGTATCTATAAAAGTTGCAGTTAAAATTAACCAAATGGGGTAATGGGGTACAACAAATTAAATGACAATTATAACACACAACAAAATATAAAAGCGTTTCCTTTCGATTTGGAACACTTGAATTTTCTCTACCATCAATTAATGTATTGTCTCCATTATAATTCGTTTAAATGACTTAATATTTTTTTAATTTAATTGATCATTAAAGTTCTTTGTTGTGTTTTGYTTGTATATTTGTTGTTGTTATTATTTTTTTTTCGTATAAATATTGTCGACATCGCCATTTAATTCGGCTATAAATTTAAAACAATAAAAACTGCAATAGTAAAGCTCCCGCCATCATGAATTAATGGCTCCCTCGGTCTATGATAAATTGGCTTCTTCCTATATTAAACCTTTAGTGCAATCATTTCACGATAAAATGTCAGTAAATTTAATTTTAAGCTTCCTGGYGTAAATCGTAAATTAATTGACATTTTCACAGAAACTTAAAAGGCTCACCTCCGCCACTTTTGTGGCAGTGATATGGAAACCTCCACATGTTGCCTAGGCCCACCGAACAGCCCAGGCATGCTAAAATGAATTGGAGTTTATTACGCCAATAGTGAGTTCTTGTCCTAGACCGGAAATCCGATAACGACTCGGCAAGTGACCTGGAACAACTGCTGCATTCTGTAAAATCACCGTCGTCTTTCTCAATAAATCTAGAAAACACATTAGAACAAAATGATATTTTAGTTATTCAAAATGTACATGAAACTATTWATTCAAGTTAACTTAATATCATAGTAAGAATTAGTAGAAATACAACGATAAAATGCATTTTAAAAATCATATATATTATAATTTTGTAAAATTAAGGACTTAGGTATTTATGTTATAGTTACAATTACATTTAATCTAAGTAAACTTTAAGCCAGTCAGTACTCAGTGGTGTACTGTTATAACCACAAATGAAACCTATTCGATATTTTTTTACATCCCCCCATCAAATTTTTAATTTTTTGTGTGTGTGTGTACTTAACTTGCTACTCTTTATTATGGATGTAGTAAATATCCTTTAAAAAATCAAAGAAAAAAGAACGAGAAGAAAAAATTAAAATTAAAAAACATAGTAAAACCAGTACTATTCCTTGCTTATAATCAGAAATTGGATTGAATTGAATAGAATTATGAAAAATTTAAACAGTCAATATATAGGTGCCTATAAGGATATTATGCGATGGGTAGGAACTCKCTACAATTTTTGATCGTCATGAAAATAATATATGTATTTTATGTTTAAACGGGGAATGTAAATTACTAAATAATAGATGTAGAACCTATATAGTAGGTATTTTGAATACCTACGTTAACCAAAATTATACTTATGAAATATTACATGTTTAGTAATAATTATTGGTTGTTATTATAAAATTGATACGTTGGTTAGTAAAAGTTAAAGTGAACATTATTTTAATCTTTTWTTTCATGTAGTCAAAAGCAGTACTTATATTTAGAATGTACAATTACTTAGACCCGGTCATCTATTAGAAACGATAAAATTATACTTGTTTACTAGGTAATTTGGATTTAATGTTTTATATACAACGATGCTATAAAAAAATGTTTTTGAATAAAGGTAAAAAATATCAGTAACAATTCTCATTTTTTTATATCAACTTATTGTAATAATAAAGTACCTAACTTAAAAAAGATGTATACATTTTCTGATAATTCAAAAATAAATATAATTGTCAAGCACTTAAACATTTTATTTACCTTACATCGTTGACCATGGTCAATGAATTGTACTTTACAATGCGTAACTACAGGATTCTATATTACACCTATTTGAGAATATGCAATTTTTAATTCGAATAAATCCGTATGAGTCAATTTCTATAATTACTGATACCATCACTATGTTACCTTTCTAATAAATAAACGAAATAATGAACTAAATGAGTACAATATCACACTTCTAAAATGAGTTCAATGCCATGAAACTCCCGCTAAAACTTAAAATCATTTCTGTACATCAACGTTATATGGGAAAACATTTTTCTMTTCTTAATCATTGAAAATATTTAAAAAATTTTATTAACAACGATAACATTCACAGATTTTTTGCGATTTTATCTGAATTATCATAATATATTAGTTGTTACTTATTATAGTTATTACTTATTAGATATTAGATATTACCTGTGTCCTATATACCATAAAATAATTGATGAAAATTAGCTTGTAATATCACAGAGAAGCAGTTTCCAAAAAGTATTTGTAAGTCAATCATAATAGTCAATAACTTTCATTTAGTTAAAATTCTTTTAATGGGGAAGGATAAACATTTATTCGTGTGTAATTTTTATATGCACTTCAAAATGCATTCAGTATTGCATATAGTTTAAAACAAAAACACATAAAGAAATTAATTTATACAGTAATACTTAAATAATTAATTTAAAATATCATTCAACGGAATCAATAATAAATTGTGGTGATGTAAGGGATATGCTGCAATATTTTGCAGATTACTTAAAGACGAATAACAATAAATTTAATTAAAACAATAAACAAACGCTTTTAATATATTATAATAACGACTACACACCTATATACGGTCTGACAGGATGAAATCGGTGTATAACAATGTTATCAATATTATCATACACAATATAGTAAGATAATTAATAATTGGCATGTCCGTTTAAAATAATAATGTATTCCGATTAGTATTAGTTTCCCGTTAATTCTACGATTACCTAACATTAAACTTTACATTRTTATTATGACGCTAAAAAAAATTTAAAAAATTATGTACCAAGCTAAATAATAAATTAACGATTATTGGATGAATATTAAATATTTAATTACTTCAGAGAGCTAATTATTTTAGTTTAAATTCGAATAGTAGATTTAATATCAACCACTTTACAAAATCTGCATCATTCGCACACTGTATTATACAAATTTATACCGCGATTTTATTATACAATATTCACTATATTGAAAATTGTATTATACAATATTCACTAAAGTGAATATTATACATTAATTATTATACTATTCAATGCCCAATATCTCGTATTTAATATGTATACGCGAGACATTGATACACGTGCGCAAACAACATTGATAACATATTATACCTACCTCTAATGAAAATATAAAACATACTAATGTATTTTTAAAATTTAAATAGTTATTTTATTAAAATAATACGATTGAGTTCGAAACGAATAAAACCGAATCGTGGAAGCCRTATAACGGGTTAAAATGCTAATAAACTGTACTTATGTGTTATACAGCTGGTAGACATGTGATATTCGCCCAGATTCGTTTTGCAGATAATTTATAAATGTGTCTGTCTATATACTACAGGTCTACTGCAAAACGAACACAATACATTTGATCTCACGGATTGGCCAATGCCAATAGATTCCTTCCTATTCGGTTATTTTTTTTTTTTTTATACCGAATGGCGATTAACGTTTAATCGATAATATTATTATTAATATATAAACACATAATATTATTATAGTTATTATAAAAACACATAAATTACAACAGGTTCATATAGGTATTAGATCGCCCACATTCAAACGGAGGAGTCACATAGTGGTTTAATTGCGATTCAACCCGCCTCACTAGAATTCGATCGCACCTATAATGACGTGTTCTCCCTAACGTATACCTTTTATATCACGTTATTATTTTATAAGTAAGTATGCAATATCCACCTGYCTCGGCGAACCACCCCGGTCGATGCGATTTAGTGCGCAATAATAAAAAAWACATGATTTACCTGTGTATTTGAATGTGTATTGCGATAAACTGATTTATTGAGGTCTGTGTCAATGAGTATAAAGGTAAGTATAATTATCCGTTATAATAATATATTTACCTGCAATCGTGCACGCCGGTCTGAGTAAAAACAGGTGACTGTAAATACATTTGACTTATTGATCAAAGCAAGTAATAAGGCTATAGCGAGTTAAGAACATTAGAATTTATTAAAAAACATCAAGTATAATGTAAGGAGCAACTAATTTCGTAATTAACTTTTGACTTAATGCATGTAGAGGTACCTATATATTTTACTTAGGTACCCGCACCTCGTTTATTTCCTATCTATTTTTATGCAACCGTCGATTCGCGAGTTAAGAATATATAAAATATAATTATAGGTACATTTATATTTTTATGTGACATTTTTGCATGTATGATTTATGTTACATAAAATCCATAGATACTTTCTCCTATATTTATTTATGGCTAAAATCTTAAATAAATTAAATCTAAATTCAGCATAAATTAACCTAATATATCATTTTTATGATTAGAAAATAGCATTTTTTAACTATTGATGAAGTTATACCATTTAGTTTACACCTGGGTGGTTAAAGAATTGATCAATATTCCTATTTATTTTTCATGATGACTTTTGATATAAATTAGTCGACCATCGTTGAGGTGAAGACTTTAATATAGGGAAATTATACTTGGTTAAAGAGTTCTKTATTTACAACRATTGCAGTCGACTTGGTATAAGTTCATAACATAGTTGTTTTTCGAGTGTGTGATAAGCCGGTCGGATACATATGAAACGCTTCCGTGACGATGATCATTATAGAACGTTCGTGTTTTGAATCCTAAATACCGCACGTTCWGAATGTTGTATMGTGTATATCCGAACAGTACTTTGATAGTATAATAATTATAGTAGGTATACGTTRGGCGTGGAGTCGATTACARTGAGGGTGCCAGGGATAAAAACGTCGCGAGTGGATGCATGTAAGTCGGTACACATTCTAATAATGCAGTTATGATGCTTACGTGAATCTCCGATTACACGAACGTTATAACGCTGAGCTGTTACAGGGTGATTCATCAGGAATGCTAATATTTTTCTCAATTACTGAATTTATTTTAATTCTGATTTTTGGAACTTTTATGTTTGCTCGAAGAACAAATTTTCAAAAACTCATATTTTTATACCATTTAAGGATTGTCTCCTGTGRATGATTTTGTAAATCATTTTTAAGAATTATCGTTCATCATCCTTGGTATAAATACAATTCAATAATTCAGAAACTACTCGTTGAAATTTTGAATTTTATAGGTAGCTCTATATGTATATATAATTTTTAACGTATGTATCAAAGTATTTTCGTTCAAAAAAAATTGATTATCAAAATACCATGTGCCTACTTCAATGTTGTATACGTAATAAAATTATATAATATCGTATAGGTACAAGTGCGCACGAAGTGTGACGCATTTTAGGTATTCGTGTACGCATCACAATATATAAATAATTGTTCTAGACTGTCGTTATTATTATTATTATTATTATTATTATCATCACTATACAGTGTTTATGAGTAGTTTTATTGACAGCACACTCGCCACCAATGTTGGGCGTACCTACCTAACTTGTATAACATTTTAAGATATTATATAACACGGAGGTCCCCGCGTATACGCAATTGAAGTCTAGATAAATACAATATAAATTAAAATAAGTAAAATAACTTCATAAATATAATTATAAGTATTAAAAATGTTTGCGAAGTGCTCGGTTACAGTGGCCCTCATTTCATTATAAMATAATATATTATAGTAGGTAGGTAATAAATATGTCGTTTAATACACGAGGGCATATTCAAATATTGTTATTAATACAGTTACGTTTCCATAATTTTTTGAAAGTATATTA